CACTCACCTCAGCCTCCCAAGGCACGGGATTACAGGCTGAGCCACCGAGCCCAGCTGATTAAATAGCATTTTAACACAGAACCATAAGTCCTATATTGAGACAAGACCAAGGAGAGAGCAGTTCCAGTCTTCTAAAAGGCGAAAAATGTGAAAGATAGTGAGTGACATCTGTTGCCAGAGTCCTCTGGTGCCTGCCGTGCCTTCTCTGGGCTGAGAGACAAGTGCTCTCTCCAGTGAGGAAGGACTTATGTCCTGTTGTCGGGCAAGGAGAGGCTGAGGCAGAGCTTTCCCCTGCATTTCCGTGTCTTCAACCTAACAGGTCTCGATATTTGGGGAGAAAGTTTAGCTTCCTTCCACAGCAAAACGGAGGGGCAAGTCCAGAGATTTCCCGTGTATGCCTGCCCCTTATACGCATAGCCGCCTCCCTCATCGACAGCCACCCCCGGGAGAACATTTGTTATGATCGATGAACCCACACCGGCATATCGTTATCACCCAAAGCCCTTAGTTCACATTAGGGTTCACCCTTGGTGTGGTACGTTCTATTGTCTGGACAGATGTGTAATGACATGTATCTGCCATTATGGCATCCTGCAGGATAGTTTACCCTCAGAATCCTCTGTGCTCAGCCAGGCATCCCTCATTGGTATATTTTTTTTCCTTTTTCAATTTTTACTTAAAATTGTGGAGTACAGTTCTGGACTAGGTATGCAAATGTTCACCGTGCAGGTACCCTTATTGATGCAATATGCACCCCCCAGGCGGATATCAACTACTGTCCATCCCACCTCCTCTCCCTCCCCACCCCCCTCTGCGCAGTTTCCCACCACTTTCAATCCTTTTCTTATAGTAATGCTGTAGTTGTGCAAGGTCCACTTATGAGTGAGATCACGTGATACTCAGCTTTTTGTTTCGGTGAGAGGTCACTCAGTGTTAGAAACTCTAAGTCCATCCAGGTTGCTGCAAAGTTCATGATTTTGTTCTTCTTTATGACTGCGTAGTATTCCGTTGTGTATATGTACCACGTTTTTTTATCCAGTCCTCTTTTGATGGGCAGCACGGTTGGTTCCATGTTCTTGCTATTGTGAACAAGGCTGCGATAAATATACACATGCAAGTATCTTTTTTATAGAGTGACCTGAGTTCTTCCCCGTATATCCCAGTAGGGGGATTGCAGGGTCATATGGAAGGTCAATTTTTAGAACTTTTAGGAATCGCCATACCGATTTTCACAGAGGCAGAACTAGTTTGCATTCCCACGAGCAGTGTAGAAGTGTTCCCTTTCACCACATCCTCTCCAGCATCTGTTATTTTTGAGTTATTGATGATGGCCATTCTGACTGGAGGTAGGTGGTATCTCTGTGGTTTTATTATTTATTTATTTTTATTTATTTTTTTTGAGTCGGAGTCTCACTCTGTCGCCTAGACTGGAGTGCAATGGCTGCTCCCGGCCACCGTAGCCTCGACCTGCTGGGCTCCGGCGATCCTTCTGCCTCAGCCTCCCGAGTAGCCGGAATTACAGGCATGCGCTACCACGCCCAGCTGATTTTTTGATTTATGGTAGAGGTGAGGTCTCGCCGCCCAGGCGGGTCTCAAACCCGCGGGCTCAGGCAATCCACTCACCTCAGCCTCCCAAAGGCCCGGGATTACAGGCTGAACCACCGAGCCCGGCTCTCTGTGGTTTTAATTTGCATCTCCTTGATGACTAGTGAGGCTGAACATTTTTCATATATCTGTTGGCCGCTCTTACGTCTTCTTTTGAGAAGTGTCTACTCATATGTTTTGCTCACTTTGTAATGGGACTGTTTGTTTTTTTCTTTTCAGCATGTTTGAGTTCCTTGTAGATCCTTGATGTTAGACCTTTGCCAGACATAGAGTTGGCAAATATATTATCCCAGTCTGTGGGCTGTCTCCCTGCTCTCTTGATGGTTTCCTTGGTTTTGCAGAAGCTTGTCAGTTTAATGAGGTCCCACTTGTCTATCTTATCTCTTATGGCCTGGGCACTTCAGGTTTTGATCAGGAATTGGTTGCCAGTTCCAACCTCCATAAGAGTGTCTCCTGCATTTTCTAAGGTTCTTACAGTTAGAGGTTTTATATTTAGGTCTGTGATCCATTTAGAGTTGATTTTTGTATATGGGGATAGGTAGGGGTCCTGTTTTAATCTTCTGCATGTGGCCAGCCAGTTTTCCCAGCACCATTTACTGAATAGGTTCCCCTCTCCCCAGTGGTGGGTGGTGGATACTTTGTCGAAGATGAGTTGGTTGAGAAATTAAGTTTTACTTCTGGAATCTCAATTCTATTCCATTGGTCTATATGCCTGTTCTTGTACCAATACCAGGCCGTTTTGATTATTGTAGCTTTATAATATGGTTGAAAGTCTGGGAGTGTGATACCTCTTGCTTTGTTCGGGGTTTTGTTTTGTTTTGTTTTTTGCTGCGGATTGTTTTGGCTATTCCTGGTCGTTTATGTTTCCATATGAATTCCTGTATTGGTTTTTCAAGATCTGAGAAGAATGTTGCTGGTAATTTGATGGGTATTGCATTAGATCTGTAGATTGCCTTAGGTAAAACGGACATCTTAACAACGTTGATTCTTCCAATCCATGAGCATGGAATTTTCTTCCACTTGTTTGTGCTATCTTTGATTTCCTTGTGCATTGTTTTGTAGTTTTCACTGTAAAGGTCTTTACGTCTCTGGTTAAGAAGATGCCAAGGTATTTCGGGTTGAAGACCACTGACTAGTTGATTTCTAAGGTCCCTTTCAGATTTGATGATTTACCATCCTAATATATTTTGTTTTTACCCTGCCACTAGGGATTAGTACCAATTTGGTTGACTGCTTTGAGGAATAGAGACACTTCCCATGAGGGACAACCTTTAAAACAGAGGCTTTTAAGCATATTTCTGTTTCAGCACCCCTGGGGTATCCTGACTATGCCTCCTAGGAACAGAGAGTTAGCTCAGGGGTGATTCACAATTAGAGGGTAAGACTATATCAGAATCTCCCGAGGGGATGGGTATAGTTGGAATAAAGTTCTCAGGTGTTGCTGGTGGTTGGGGAGGAGAGAATGGAGCAGTGTGGGAATGGCGGTTAACCTACTGAAGAATTGGAAACAAATGAAAATGTAGCCACAGCCTAGACCATTGGCAGTTGAACTTGAGTATGCATGAAAATCACATGAGAAACTCATTAAAATTTCAGGTTTCTATGCCCAGTTCCCAAAGATTCTGATCCTGCAGGTCTGAGGCTAAGGAAATCTTTATAGTTAAAAGCACACCTAGAAAATTCTAAGACAAGTGCTACGTATCCAGAAGATGCAGCCTAAAGTGTGGTTTCTCATGAGAGTTCATTTCTACATTGTTATTCATACCTTATGAAAAGAATCACTGAACCAGTTAGGAGGCTTGTGTGGCGTTTTTTTGTTTGTTTGTTGTTTTTTGAGTCAGAGTCTCACTCTGTCGCCCAGGCTGGAGTGCGGTGGCATGCTCATGGCCACCGCAGCCTCAACCTTCTGAGCTCAGGCAATCCTTCCACCTCAGCCTTCCAAGTAGCTGGAACTACAGGTCTCATCAAGTTGCCCAGGCTGGTCTCGAGCCCCTGGACTCAGGCAGTCCTCTCGCCTCGGCATCCCAAAGTGCTAGGATTACAGGCTTGAGCCACTGTGCCCGGCTTAAGCTATGACACGGTATAAGACTTGAGCCTTCTTTTTCACATATCAATTGTCCAATATCAGACACCCACTTTCTCACCCTGACCAACAGTTCCAATTACTAAACCTCATGAGTCATAGCTTCTATTTCACTGTCACAGATGCTGTAAAATGATAGCCAAATATTTTAAAGCTAATGGTGGCCAATTTTATCCTGAATAATACATAGGCATATATTACAGACTGAGTTAAGGTGGAGTCTTTTTCTCTTTTTTACCTTTTATTTTAATTTTTACTGCAGGTTCAATATGGAATTTTTCCAGATAACTTTACATTCAATTTGCTGATGGATTCTTTCATAAAGAAAGAAAATTACAAGGGTAAGAAACCAAACCCAGATTCAGTTATCGTAGGGCTTCCAGCACCGAAAGGCAAGTATATATAAATGCAGTCACTTTCTCCTTTACTACTTAGTGACATCTCTTTATGTCACTCTTTCAATCAGAAAAGTTTTGATGAAGATTATAAAATATTCTTTTTATTGTTGTCCGGGTAGAAAATAATCAAAATACATGTAAGTTAATTATACAGAACAATCTGATTTTATGTCCCAAGCTGACTAAAATGCAGAATGTAAATAAAGATAAAGTAAATGTATAACTTTGAATTCAGTAATGAACAGCCGGTAGAAATAAGATTTTTTTAAACTGGATTTTCAGCTTTGAGTTTTTAAAAATATCATTGGCTTATTTTTAATTAAAAGTAAATCTCTTACAAGTCCTTATTTTGCCATTGATTGTGACTAGACGGCTTCCCGGTCTGCCTGTGTATCTCGGTTTCCCGACTTGCAAAAAGAACACAGAAATTCATGCTTATGGCCTCATTCAGAACTGTGACAACGTGTGGAGAACCAGCTGGCTAGGAGCAGCTGCAAATCAGTGCTGACTCTTTTATAATTATGAATATATGCAAAATGTGGTTAACTGAATAACTCAGTCAAAAACACGTATTGTGCTTCTGATATGTGCAGGCACTATATTTGAAACCAATATTAACGTTCTCTATTTTATCAACAAATAATTTAGGGGTGTAAGTTGCTTGAACTTGATTTTCTTGGCTTCCATCTATGTTGTAGAATATCAAGGGAAAATAAAAATTGCTCAAGGCTTGCTCACCTGTGATCAGCATCCATGTGGAAACAAATATCTCATACTGTATGTCAGCTCAGGGGCTAATAATTTATGGATGAGCATTTTCCTTTCCCTCGTTTCAAGTCTTTTGAACTGAGCCTTGCTGTCCTTTTTATAGCATCATTTTTCTTTCTCTGAATTAATATCTGGGATTTAGGACTTCCTCTGGCATTCATCCTCTTCTACCTTCACAGTGAGGGGTACCAGTGCAGAAATTGCAGCCGTCAGCCCAGCCTCCTGCTCTGCTTGTCAGACTGACCCTGACGATATATGTGCCTCCCTTCTTTATGCCTAAGCTCTGCTGGCTGATGAACATGATGCTTGAAATTTGCTTGACAATTGATGAGCCATTTTCGTCTATATTATCTTGTTGGACTGTCCAAAATTCTTCTGAAGTAAAAGAGGCAAATAGTATCGTATCGTTATGAAGATGATACTGGGAACCAAGAGAATTTAATGGTTTAGTCAGTGTTATTGAGGACTTTGGTGCAGCAGCTCCTGATTTAGTTCATTCTAGTATGTTCAGTAGAAGCTAAAAGCTTAAGAAAGACCAAATTTGTGAAAGAATCAGGGCTAGAGCCCACATTTCTTACTTTTTTTTTTTCTTGTTTGAGTCAGTCTCACTTTGTTGCCCAGGCTGGAGTGCAGTGGCATGCTCACGGCCACCACAGCCTCTTGCTGGGCTCAGCCTTCCAAGTAGCTGGAACTACAGGTGTACACCACCACACCCAGCAAATGTTTTGATTTATTGTAGAAATGAGGTCTCGCCAAGTTGCCCAGGCTGGTCTCGAACCCGTGGGCTCACACAGTCCTCTCATCTCAGCCTCCCAAAGTGCCGGGATTACACACGTGCGCCACTGCGCCTAGCTTCATTTCTTCCCTCTTAATTCCACTTGTTTTTTAAATCATGCCCTACTTTTTAAGTGTTAATAGTTAAATAGAGATTTGGTGATATTACTTACAACTAATTTCTCATTTTTACTTTCATCTTTTTGCTAGATGCTTTATCTGTGGTTTTTGAGATCATGATGCAAGAAGCATTTGAAGTGCCGTCCACCCAACTTCTCTCCCTCTTTGTGTTATATCATTGCCTGGCAAAGAAGACAGACTTCAGTGTAAGTGATCTGCCCTAAAGCAGTACTGAGAACCTTAGAAAAAGTAAGCAGTGGCCGCTCAGTTAGGTATGAGGCCGCCAGAGGAAACCTTACTCTCAGAATCTGGAAAAAGTCATCTGATAGGCAGCTGTGTGGCCGTACGCAATGAGGAATGGGTGTTGCTTCTGTACGTTGTAGCTCCTGGTTTCTAACAAAGTGGAGCTGGATGTTCCACGTGAGAGAATCTCAGATGAATATCCTTGTGCATATTTTGAAACTTGAGCTAGGCTGAGTACACCTCAGACATTCAGAAAGGGGTCACTGGTAATCAATAAGAGCTAGACATGGCGTGTCAAGGAGGCCATGAGCTGCTAACTTTGACCATGGCCTGGCGTGTAAAATACTGATTGTTTAGTTTTTATCCATATTTTCCTGAGGCTGCTCTAAGGCACTCGTGTTCTGGAAGTTCCGGAATATCAAGTTGTGGTTTTAGCTCTTAGGTTTGGGTGTTTAGTTGTTGCTTATTGCTGTCCTAAGAACAACAACAGTAATAACAACAATAACTAACATTTAAGTCGGTTGAATCCTCACACGTCTATGTAGGTAAGGACACTGAGTCATAAAAATATTGTAGTATAACCATCCAGCTAGTAGACAGCAAAGCTACCTGGTGAAGCCAGGCTGTCTGGTTCTGCAGTCTGCCCTTAACCTCAGTTTAACATAAAAAGATCCCAGTTTGGGTAGAAACTGAAAGGTCATCTGGTTCAACCCACATTGTAAAAAACTGATGGCATGTTATGCCTTTCTAAGGTGAGTGTCATGGACTATGATGTAACCCATATCTGTTATTAATTCTTTTTTTTTTAACTTTAGATTTAGTGGGTACACATGAATGTTCGCTCTATGAACATATTGTATAATGATGGGGATTGAGTCTCTTCTATACTGAACACCTCCTCATTCCATGCACTGCCAATTGCTGGTTATATAATGGTGGGCAGACATTTCCTGGTCACAATCTAGGAAGAAGACAAATGTTTAAAACAAAACAAAAAAACACAAGTATAAAATCACAACTAGCCGGGCTTGGTGGCTCAGCCTGTAATCTCACGCCTCTGGGAGGCTGAGGTGAGTGAATTGCCTGAGCCCGCGAGTTCGAGACCTGCCTGGGCAGCGAGACCTCATCTCTTCAATACATCAAAAATCAGCCGGGCGTGGTAGCGCGTGCCTGTAGTTCCAGCTACTTGGAAGGCTGAGGCGAAAGGATCACCAGAGCCCAGCAGGTCGAGGCTGCAGTGACCGGGAGTGGCCACTACACTCCAGTCTGGGCGACAGAGTGAGACTCTAGCTCAGAAAAATAATAATAATAAAATAAAATGAAATTACAACTGTCGTGAGCACTGCAAAGTGCAAAGGAGAAGTCTATGGATAGACTGAATTGTAGGGAGTTTTGTTTGTATTTTAAGCTTAAATTGGCTAGAAAGGGCTTCCTTAGGAAATATTTCTTGCGTTAGTATTTGAAAGATGACTAGTAATTAACCAGCTGAAGAAGAGAAGAACTGTCCAAAAAGAGGAAGTAACATGTGCAAACACCCTGTGGCCAAAAAGAACATGGTGAGCAGAAAGGGGCTGGAAGAAAATCAACGCAGCTACAACAGAGAGAATAGCAGGGAGCATGTGGGGTGAGAGAGAGAGAGAATGGCAAATGTAGGTCATGCAAAGCCATCTTGTGCTCATGCTGAAAACAGTGGGATGGTCTTGAGTTTTAGACAGAGGGGGTCACGTCACTTTTGTATTTTGGAAAGATCCTGCTGACTGTCCTGTGTACGGTGCCTTGTTTTGCTCTTCTGATTGTAAAAGGAACACCTATTCATTGCCGATCGGAGCAGGGAAGGGACAGTTATGGTCGGACACGTTAGGAGACTATTATATAGTATGAACAGGAAATTATGGTAGCGCAGGGACCAGGAGGTGGTAGAGTTAGAGAGTAGCCACTGGGCATTTTTGGAAGGTAAATCATAAGATAGGAGACAGGGAAGCAGAGGTCAAATGTCCTCTCCTCAGTTTCTAACTCATATATCTGGATGGAAGGGGCACCTTGTGTTTGCCAAGGGGACTCTGGAAGAAGACTGGGTTTTGTGAGGAAAATCCTATTAATGTGGCTCTGAACATGCTGCATTTTGAAATGCTTTTGAAACAGTCAAGAGATTTCACCAAGGAAGTTGGGAGGTTAATGAAAAGATCTGCATTAGAAATATAATTTTAGAGATTATTTTATACATCCACGTGTAAATGCCTGTAAATGAGCCCAACAGCAAAATAAAGCAAAATCAAGAATGTGTTGGATCACAGAATCCACAGGAAGAGAGTGGTCTGTGATGGAGAATGCTTCTGTGAGGGTAGGTAAAATGAGGAATAAAAAAACTTCATTGCATTTGGTAGCATGGAGACACTAAATTATAACCCTTGTTTTCAGAGAGTGATGGAGCAGGAAACCAAATTGGAGTGGATCATGAGGTGACTTACAGGTGCAGAAAGGAGACACGGCGAGTTTAGGCAACTCTTTTGAGATGTCTAGCCATGCAGGGGAGTGGGAAGAGGGGAAGAGTGGAGGGGGGAGAATGAGGGTTTGCTTTGTGTTAATGGAAAAGGCGAAGCACAAAATGGGAAAACCTTGAGTTGACAAGCTAGCGCCCAAATTAACCCATTATAGTCTCTACCATAGAAACTAAAGGCTTGGAAGAGAGCTACTATTTTATGTTGACACATAGTTTATCATATAAGCAGCCATCGTTGCAGTATTCCCAGAGAATCATCAAAAAAAATTCTGAGACGTTCATCTGTTTTCATTCGTGTTTTTAAAAGTCCTTTTGAAGTATCACCATTCTAGTCGCCATCACCACTGCTGCTCGATTCCTAGCACATCAAGGACATCATTACTTGGATATTTTACTTTCATTTGGCTTTTCACCCCTATTACATCCTGATTCTATAGTCGATGTCTTTTCCTACTTGAAAAAAAAAGTTTCTAAGGCTCATTATTGATTATTCACTGGGCCCACTTTTCATGAAGTTTACATGGAAAACTTAAACTTCCCTTGATGAGGGTGGTTTGCTTTTGAAAGTAAAATGTCCTGGTTCTTAATTACCAGCGCTTTTATTTATCTGTGCTGCAGAAGTGCCTGGGGAGGTTTTGTTTTCCTCCCAAGGTCTTTGCAGAAAAGCCTCAAAGGTTGAGGAAAACCTCAAGAGATGACACTCAGGTTGCACAGAGGCTGTTCACAGTAAAGAGGCTTGGGTGCCTGCTAGCACCTGAGGTGCCTCACTGGGGTGCACTTGCAGCCTGCACATGTCGCCGTTCTCTGCTTCTCCTTGGACATCTGGGTGCAGAGACTGGCGAGGGGCAACCTGAGCTTATGTTCTGTATGTCGAAGCCAGAGTGAGGGCTCCAGTGCCGGCCAGTGTGTACTCCTGGCACCAAGAGGATCACAGCTCCTGCTGTCTGGGCAATTGCCAAGGCTCTCCTCTGACCCTGCATTTCCAGTCACTGCTGTTCCTAGTCTGCAGTGGGCTTAGCAATGCTTTTGGTTATGCCCTTTTTCTCCCCCATGTCTCAAAAGGCTTCAAGTTTATTGCAGTGTAATTTTGTACCCTGGGTTGAAGCAAACAATCGTTAAGTGTTCCTGATTGCCTAACCTGTTTTTGAGAAGAACAAATCTATCTAAAAGCAACTAATAGTGGTATTTATTCTAACACTATGAAGGAGAGGTCTTATCATTGCCGAATCATCTCAGATTCAAAAGCTTGCTTATCGGACCCCAGCAGTGTGATTGAGTATGAAGCCAACAGCATGTTGAATCTTGATGGATTATCTACTCAGTGTTGGACCAGAGTGTACTCTTTTTGTTTCGTTTTGTTTTCTTTTCTGATTGTAAGAGGAACTCTTATTCATTGCCAGAGCTTTGGAAAATAATGAAAAGAACAAACAAAAAAACCAAAATCACTCATGATTTCACTAGCCCCAAATCTGTTAACATATAGGGTATTTCTTTATTTTTCTTTAGATATAAATATGTTTTATTAACAAAATCGGGATTATAATGTATATATAGCCTTGTTATTTTTTTTTTTTTACTTGATACTATAACATGTTCTTTTCCTCGTGTCACTAAAAACCACATTTTGCATAAAGTATTCAGTGCACAGATGGACGATGATCTGGTATCTTCTATTGCAGTGGGAAGAAGAGAGGAACTTCGGTGCATCCCTATTACTTCCAGGCCTCAAACAGCAGAACTCAGTGGGTTTCAGTTCCCGGTTGTATGGCTGTGCCCTTCTTGGTAAGCAAAGTGATCCTTACATATATTCTTCTTGGGTAGGTTTGATACCTTCTTCTAGTCAATAATAAAATTATATTTGATTTAAATGTTCTAGTGAAATCCAATTACAGCCTTCTTTTTTAGTCATAAAAATAGACCTTGATGGCCTTATTCTCTCCATAAGAGAGTAAAGAAGGTTCTTAAAATCTATCACCTTGCCAGGCGTGGTGGCGTGCACCTGTAGTTCCAGCTACTTGGAAGGCTGAAGCAGAAGGATTGCCTGAGCCCAGCAGGTCGAGGCTGCCGTTTGCCATGAGCGTGCCACTTCACTCCAGTCTGGGCAACAGAGTGAGACTCTAACTAAGGAAAAAAAAAAAACCTGTCACCACTGGCAAAACGAGAACTAGTTCGGGTGGCTGTAGTTCACAGTTACTGGTAATCAATGTGAAGAAGTAATAAAAAAGGGACGTTCTGGCCCTCTTTAAGAAGAATCAACCAGTAGCATCTTTTCCAGTATTAACAAAAAGATCTTTCTGTCTCTTTAAACCTAAAGTACAGGAGGTAAGAAATTAGAGTTAGGGTTGAACTTGTATCTATGGTATTGTTTTCAGGTGAGGGAAGAGAAACGCAGAGAACACAAGTAGTAGCACTTTGGGAAACGCAGAGCAGCTCACTGGTTCAGTGTGATCGTACCAGGAGGCGGGATGGTGGCTTCTCTTTGTGCTCTAATTGCATTGAATATTGGACAGGTCAAGAGGACAGAGCCTTCTGAGGATTGGCCTCAGAACCTGAGTTTTGTGGAATCTGGGCAAATCGCATTCAGCCTAAATGTACATTAAAAATTGTACTGATGTACAGAGGTTTATTACATGCATGTTACTTCATTACTCTTCGATTCTCTCTTAAGAAGTTAGGTGTCTGGGAAAGTACCTTCTTTTGATCATAATTGCTCCTGCTTACCTCTGTTTCTTGAAAGACATCAAAGTTATAGTTGTTTGACTGCTCTTTTTTTTAAAAGGCGAGATTTTACTCTGTCACCCAGGCTGGAGTACAGTGGCGTGATATTGGCTCACTATAGCGTTGACCTCCTGTGCTCAGGTGATCCTTTTACCTCAGGCTCCCAAGTAGCTGGGACTACAGGCATGTGCCACCATGTACACATTTTATTTTTTTTGTAGAGACAAGGTCTCTCTATGTTGGCTAGGCAGGTCTCGAACTCCTGGACTCAAGAAATCATTTCTCCTCCACCTCCCAAAGTGCTGGAATTATAGGCCTCAGCCACCACGCCCACCTCAGTTTGACTGTTTTTGGATTTGATCTTTGCAAGCAAAATGTAGTGTGGCATTCCTAGATGCTGATTCTGATTTTTTTTTTTTTTTTTGAGTTGGAATCTCACTCTGTTGCCCAGATTGGAGTGCAGTGGCCGCTCTCAGCCACTGCAGCCTTGACCTGCTGGGCTCCAGCAATCCTTCCGCCTCAGCCTTCCAAGTAGCTGGAACTACAGGCACGCGCTACCATGCCCAGCTAATTTTTTGATTTATTGTAGAGATGAGGTCTCGCCAAGTTGCCCAGGTGGATCTCGAACCCGTGGGCTCAGGCAATCCACTCACCTCAGCCTCCCAAGGCGCAGGATTACAGGCTGAGCCACCGAGCCCGGCTGCTGATTCTGATTTAATACCTTATAAAAGAATTTCAGGTTATCAACTGGCACCAGACTAAAAAAAGAATTGACCACTGTTTTTAAAAATCACGCTTTTCTTATTTGCCTCTTACTTATGATACCGATTCACCTGTGTTTTCTTTTGCTTTCAGATTAGTGTTCAGGACTGTGATGCTGCCTGGATTGGCCGGGAAATTGTAGGACTAAGAAAATGTACTTCATTGTTGTTTGTATGCAGAGGCACTGGTTCTCTGAAACTGGTGGCCATGAAATCAGAAGCTCTTTGTTGTCACTGTGCCAGGTGCCAGGCAGCCTCACACAACCCTGATGGGAGCAGCTGCCCAGAATGTGACTGCAATCTAGCCCCAAGCACCTTAAAGGTCTAAAATTAGCCATCGCCTGATAAGCTTTGTCTGTTGGGTCCTATTCTAGCGTCCCCAAATCCTCCTTCCCGGGAAAGATAAGTAAAGGTGGATTTAAGACTGGGTATCTCAAGGTGACTTTGGTCATTAGTGCAGAGAGCGTTTTGTGTGTCCCACAGGCATAGGCAAGCCCCTCCCCCTGCCAGAGACCCTGCTGTCTGGCTTCATATCTTGAGCTCAGGTGTGATGGCTTGAGGTGCCCAAAAAACATTCATGTGCAGAAATCCCAAAGGCTCATTCATGAGGACTCTATGCTTTAAGAAGTGATGAGACACAATCAAGGAAAGAAGGGGGGAAATGGATTGTTTTTTTTCATAAGGACAGTGGATTAGGTGTTTTGTGGCATTATGAAAAATGTCACACATTTCCTAGCAGGGAACGTTGTCAGATGCTGACAAGATTTTCACAGTAGGAAAGTCTTTTTTGGGGAAGATTTTGTTCTTGAAGCAAAAATAATATTTCAATTGCCTTGTTTTTTAAGGGTAGCCCTACTTAGAGGCAGATATGTTAACCTCTTGAAGTTTCCCTCAGCCCGGTGATTCATACATCCTTATGATAATCACCAGCTCAAATGAAAAAGAAGAAAAACAAGTTCACACAATTTTATGTTAAAAAATGTATACAGTGAATTTTGCCACATTCTTCATCATCCATCTGAAATGTTACCAGGTCATTGGATGAGGTGAAGCTCCTGGTACAGATTGAAAGATACTTTTCTGTGTCTAGAGCTGCCCGGCAAATGTTTACGTGGGCCGTCAAGTCCTCAGTCTCAGACATGGTGAGAAGACATGGCTGAGCATTCTTTATTGTTCTTTTTGACTGCAGGGAAGGTGGAATTGCAGCAAGGGCTACGGGCTGTATACCACGACATGCCTCTGATGTGGAAGCCAGGCTACCTTGACAGAGCCCTTCAAGTGATGGAGAAAGTGGCCTCTTCCCCAGAAGACATAAAGCTCTGTGGAGAAGCGGTGTGTTCCTTAGCCCTGATTCCATGAGATTTAGTATCTCCTGTTCCTCGTGATAAGTTGAGATCTGGATTTGTTTTCATTGTCTTTCTGCTACCCCTACTTTACATATTTCTATAGAATAGGTACTTATCCAGTTGAAAAGGAATGAAAAACCACAAATATTTTCAGTGCAGCTGACCAAAGGCACTAGAAAATAAGATTAAGATTGATTTTTAGCTCATTGTCAAGGAAGAAAACTGTCCTTCCTTGAAATTCAAGCTGAGTTCAATAAAATGTCACCTATTCCACTGCCTCCCTTCTCACCGCCCCAAAAAAAATCTCAACGAGCATTCACGAGAGGGTAACACGTCATTTTAAATGCGTTTGGCATTTATTTATTTATTTTGAGTTGGAGTCTCACTCTTGCCCAGGCTGGAGGGCAGTGGCATGCTCACGGCCACCGCAGCCTCCACTGCCTGGCTCAAGTGATCCTTTCGCCTCAGCTTTCCAAGCAGCTGGAACCACAGGCACGTACCACCACACCCAGTTAATTTTTTGATTTATTGTAGAGACGAGATCTCTTCGTGTTGCTCGGGCTGTTCTCAAACCCCTGAGCTCAGGCAATCCTCTCGCCTCTGCCTCCCCAAGTGCTGGGATTACAGGCATGAGCCACCGTGCCCCACGTGTTTGGCACTTTTATGCCCTTGTGTAGTCTTGAGAGATTACATAGCATTTTCCCCCATGAAAGCCCTCAAGAAATGAAGTTGGGGTCTAGAGATAGAACAGTCTTGCCTTCATTCTGGGGTGAGTGTGTGGTGCTGAGGAGATCTGGGCCAGGCGTTTCTGCCAAAGTTCTGAGGTGTTCACTTTGCGAGGACTGGAACACTCTCCTCCCACCAGCCCCGGCACTCATCCCTCTTGGTTCCCTAAGACCCTTGATACTGTGAAGTTACTGGACTTGGCTCAGACTCCAGGAGACATGAGAAGCCTTACACCCCACAGGCAACCAGTGTCCGCTCCATCCAAGGGACTTTATAGCCAGATGAGGCCTGAAGGACAGTTGTCATCTCATTACCAAGGTGTCAAGTTACCTTGGAGCCACTTAATTGTTTGTCTTACCCCGAATGCCGGGGCTCACCCTTGCTTTGTTTCAGTCCTGAGATGTGCAGGTCTGGTGCTGTACTGGCTCCTTAGACTAACATCTAGTGAATCGTTACGTCCTTTGCCGCTTGTTTATATCAAAGAATACACAGTTCTGCATATACTTGTTTTGACCCTACTGTAGTCAGTGCTGGTGATTGAAAATACAAAATTTACATAAATCCTTTGCCAGGGAATTGTTCCTTCCAGTTCGAGCCAGATTTGCATTCTTTGTCTTCTGACTTAATAGAAATGTGGCTCAGATATTGGCAAGAATGTGGTATGTGTCCGGTGCGGGGGTAGTATATTAATAGTATTAAACGGCCTGGAGAATCTTCTGGATTTTTGTGCCGATGTAACATGAGCAGGGTTAATCAGTATCCAGGCAGGTGCATGTGCTGGCTGTGCTCTTGTTTCTGTCCCATCTCCAAGGATGAGGCCCCTGTGGCTCAAGGGAGATGTACCTCAAAGTGAAAGTGGAGGGGAGAGGGGTCAAAACAAAAGGGAAACCTCTGTTTTTTAATTTACTTACTGAGTCACAGAAATCACCTTATTAAAATGAATTCTCTGTGAGCATCTCTGGGCTTTGTGAGCAGCTTATGCGATTATGCTGATCCTTAATTTACAGATACCCCATGAGTTAAGATCGTTCTCTGAGGGAGGCCTCACCTGTATCCAGAGACTTTAACACAGGTTCAGAATGGCCTTTGGTTGGTTGTGGTCTGCAGTGGTCTTTCCCTTTGTCCCGATTCCAAACTGATTAAGGAAGAAAGACACGGCAGGGGGAAGGACTTAGTGTCCGTCAAGCATAGTTCTTGGATTCCTACCTGGCTAAGAGGGCACTTAAATGCCAGTGTGCTAATTCACGTCCACAGTAATTCTTAGCTTGCTTAACTTGCTATCTGTACTGTTTGTTTTGTACTGTTTTCCATGCCGTCCTATAGGGTGTTTCTCTTTCTTTGGAGTCAGGGTCTTACTCTGTCGCCCAGGCTGGAGTGCAGTGGCATGATCACGGTTCACAGCAGCCTCTACCTTTTGTGTTCAGGCGATCCTTCCACCTCAGCCTCCTGAGTAACTGGGACTATGGGTACACACCACCACATCCAGCTAATTTTTTATTTTTTTTGTAGAGACATGGTCTCACTGTGTTGCTCAGGCTGGTCTCGAGCTCCTGGGCTCAGGTGATCCTCCTGCCTCGGACTCCCAAAGGCGTGAACCACCGTACCAGCCCAATAGGATGTTTCTATTGTGAAAAAATAGAATCATTTATACTTCCTCTAATTTTATAAGAGAAATCTTCTCGAAGTTCTGGAGCTCGTTTTCCTTTCTTTTGCTGTTTCCAGCCCTCTCCACAGTGTGCTCTTTGGCCCACAGAGGTTTAGTTCCTGACCCTCTTTCTGCTCCGCAGCTCGAAGTACTGGACACAGTGCTGAAGACTCTGACTTCTCCGGCTGATGGGGCTTCAGAGGAGCAGTCCCAGGAAGGTGAAGACAACCAGGCATCAGAAAAACTGGTGGAGCAGCTAGACATCGAAGAAACAGAGCAGTCCAAGCTCCCTCAATACCTGGAGCGATTTAAGGTGAACCGTAGCAGAGTCGGGTCTCTCTCAGCTGTGCAAAAGGCACGCTTCTCTGCTGTGGTGATGGCCAGGCAGTCTTTTCATGCTTCAGTGTCACATACAAAGGCATCAAAAACTGGCATCCAAGATTACGTTTTTCTTGCTTCGCACAGGAAGTGGTCTGAAAAGAAACCAGTGGAACTTTTGTGCTTCTCTTGGTGCTTGAGCTGATCGGTCGCCATTCTGTTCACTGAGGCAAGCGTGTCGGTACCCCACTCGTCCTGATACGTGCCTGATGGGGGGCAATAGTTGGCCTCCGCGTAGCGATAACCTGACTCCCATCCCAAGTGGACAGGGTCTGGCCATGTCTCCACCTTGCCTTAAGTGTGCCTGAAACCTAGAAGCCCACTTAGACATCCCAGAGCCACACTTGAGCAGTGGAGCTAAGATGCAGGCATCTTGTGTTGCTCTTCTTGGCCTGCTGTGTGTTGTGTGCTTGGGTCCCTAGAAGTGCTCTCTTGTACCTTGTGGGAGACGTCAACAGTTTCCAGTGTTTCTTTGCAGAACAGCCCTGAGCACTCAAGCTGCCTTTAGTGGCTTCTAACTCTGCACATCCCAATGCTCTGTGATCAGCGTCTAGGTAGAAGAACCGTGTTCGGTGTTTAAACCCTTGTCCTCTTCCTTGCTTTCTCATCTGTTTAGTGCAAAGAGAAAAAAGTGCCTGAATGGGAAGGACTGGTATGGAGTAAAAAGCTTTCCCACCCATGCCAGCTGACCTATTGTATCATTCGAGGACCGATAGATATTAACTTTGCTAGGCAGTTACATTTAAATCTTTTCAGTAATTACATTGAACCACCTATTACTCTCAACCTATTTGCCCACGTGATGTATTTTTAGCAGCTCCTTCTCCCAGAACTTCTGTGAGGGCATTGCTCAACTTCTCTCTTTTCTAATTTGAAACTGAGAAGGAAGGGTTAATCGGGGTGCCCAAGGTACAAAGAGAATTGGCAGCAGAGCGAGGTTGAAAATCTGCATACCTGACCCTTCCTCTTAACTGTGCCCAATGCTGTAGATTTAGAAGGGCTGAAGGAAAAACTGCTTAGCCCCATATGTTATCGTTCTCCACGTTCACACAGACCAAGGTTGCCACACCACTCCGAGAAATGACAGCTTCTTTCTCTTGTTTCTTTTTTTTTTTTTTTTTTGAGTTGGAGTCTCACTCGGTCGCCCAGACTGGAGTGCAGTGGCCGCTCTCGGCCACCGCAGCCTCGACCTGCCGGGCTCCGGCGATCCTTCCGCCTCAGCCTTCCAAGTAGCCGGAATTACAGGCACGCGCTACCACGCCCGGCTGATTTTTTGATTTATTGTAGAGAAGAGGTCTCGCTGCCCAGGCGGGTCTCCAACCCGCGGGCTCAGGCCATCCACTCACTTCAGCCTCCCAAAGGCGCGGGATGACAGGCTGAGCCACCGAGCCCGGCTCTCTTGTTTCTTATATATTTTGTCTCAAAGACTAGAAACCTGTACCTGCATTAAGTTTTTAGTCCTCATTCTTCTACAAATGCATTCTTAGGAAAATCCAAAAAAGGAAGACAGATATTTAGGACCACTAGCCGTGACACCAAAGCTCTGGGTGGTAGAGCCTGCTCCTCCCGTGTTGCTTGGGAAGCAAGACTGAGGGAAACCAGCCCACAGTGGCTGACTTCGGGCTTCAGCACAAGTTGCCTGACTCTCAGTTGTTGAGTCATTCTGGCGTCCCGTGCGGTCTCCTTAGCTCAGACCACATGGAGCGTGATATCAGAAGGAAATCGCTTCCTCTTACATTTCCTTTTCTTCTGTTGCCTGATTTCTATTAGTCTGAGGTCATTTGTTTGCGACCCACTGGTCCATGATAGACCCTCACACTAGGCCTCGGAGTCTCACACTGGGCCCTCTGAGCCTGGCCCTGGCCCACCTTCCCCCCTGCATTGGGGCAGGCCTCCTCTGTGCCAGGGAAGTACATCTGTAGAACATGAGGCTGTTAAAAGCTACAGCTGGGGCCGTAAGTGGCTCTCTCTGATGATCTCCATCTTGAAACGTTGAACTGGATTAATGTTTTTAATACATCTCTGGGAATGCAGCACCAGCCAAACCAAGCTGCCATTTCAGCTGGAGCTGAGGCAGGCGGTATTAGTGGCCGACCTGCAGTGGAGCACAGCAGGTGGAAGCTTATCATAGTGCATGCACTCGCCGGAGCTGTTTGCGTGCCATTAGTGAGAAACCCTTGAGGTGGTTTCCATCTGTTGGCAGGAACGTCAGGAAGGCAGACACCTCTTTCCATTATTCTGAAGGAACAGGTATGGATGGACTCTGGCTATCAGATGTCGCTGCCATTTTGTTTGCAGCCTAGAATTCTCGTTCTTGTTTTGGTGTAGGTCAGGGTGGAAACAGATTTGTTATAGCTGTGCTGTCTTTGTGATTTAAAACAAGAAATCACATAGGGAGTCGCAGCATATGGAGTTCCATTTACTGTTTGTGAGTGAAAGGAGAAATCACATGTGGCACCTTAGCACAATTGCTGAGTGGAAAAGCACACAAGTGAACAGTGCCGGCCTGAAAGGCAGCACAATGGCCCTGCGAAATGTTCTATCCTACAAGCAAAATGTGTGGCTGTTTTGCAAGTGTGTTAATCTCTTCTCTTTTCCTTTTTGTATTCTCAACTCTCTCCTCTTTTTCCCTTTGTTTCCAACAGGCCTTACATTCTAAGCTTCAGGAGCTGGGCAGAGTCGAGTCAGAAAGTCTCTTGAGTCTGACCACTCAGCTTGTCAAGCAAAAGCTGCCCACCTGTGAAGCAGAGGACATCGCCGCCTATGAGCAGGCTCTGCAGCAGTGGCATCGGGAGCGGGTGCAGTTGATGCAGAGAGAACAAGAACAGAGGGAGCGGGCGAAACAGGAGTTTGAGGCCCGCCAAGCAGCAAAGGCATCTGCCTAACCGGCCCCAGGCCCCAGCCCTACCCCAGGAATCTCTGGATCCGGCAGTGGCTGGGACAGCAGCCTCTATTTCCTCTATTTGTCTTCTTTCCTTAAGGCAGGCCACGTGGTCTGAATATCAGGGCATCGCGACTGCCCCTTCAGATGCCAAGAAGGGCTGAGGAACTGGGAAAGTGATCAGATTGAAGCTGCCAGCTGGATACCTTGAAGGGGCCCTCGAGGCGTATGGTGGGCACAGGGTTCGGTTTTGAGCGTGGCATTTTCTAGTACCTCGTGAAGGTGCTAAGAGAAGGCGCGGCTGAAGAGGCAGGTCTCCAGCACAGACTTGGAGGGCTCCGGGCTCTTCAGGCCAAGATGGGCCGCACCTGAGTCTCTCCGAGCGCGAGGGCACTGTGAGCCCGCTGCCCCGGCTTGCACGTCCCGCTTCTCCCCTCCCCCATGTCTCGCCTTCCTGACCTGCCCTGGGAGAAAGTCAGGACCAGAGAGCCACAAACACTGGATTTCCAATGTTCAGCCCCCAAAGTGACATTTTTAGAATGTGAGGGCTTTTGAGGAGAAAACTGGCCTCGTAGGAAGCCTTCTTGGCTTGGCTGCTTCATCATGTGGGGGTAATAGTTTTCCAAACGTTGCCTCGGGTCCCTTATCAAAAGGTAAAACGAGCCTTTTGTGTGCACACACAGACACGTGTACGACCTGCGAACACACATTTCAGTTAAGGAAGCTGGAGGAAATGTGAGATGGGACGGGCTTGAAGTGCATAGGAGATGGAAGCTGTGAAACCGGCAGGAGATGGAACCTTCGGAGGTTTTTCTTCTGTGAAAGGGGTCAGTCGGCTTTTGCTCGCTATGTGATGTTGCCTTTAAGTCCAGTGGTGTACTTTTTATTCAGAATTGTTCTCTTTTATCAAAAACCTGTGGGAATAAATGTTCTGGGATTATTTGCGATGTTTTCTTTACCTTTGGGGAAGGGAGGGAGAGGCAGGGACTCTTACCATCATAATATCAGTCCGACTTTGAGCAGCACATGTCCGACCCTCTTCCATTACGCTGTGGCCTGAGTAATAGTGACCACCACTAGCATTTATGAAGGACCCACTGCATGCCAAGAACTGAAGCAGCCCTGCCAGGGAGGCGCCGTTGTCTCCTTTTAAGACTGAGGAAGGGAACCCCAGCACTGCCCCCGCGGCTCCTCTCCCTGCCCTGGGCCTCCACGCGTGACTGCAGTCGGGATCTCACCGGGGGCTGAAGCCAGAGGTAGAGGGCCGAGACCAAAGTCAGCTCCGTCCTTTGGCTTACCAAGGACAGGGCTTTTCAGTCACCCCTTGTTGTATGAAGAGAGCGATCCAGGCTCAGTCAAAAGGCAGCTTTTGCTCAGCAAATTCACTCTTAGGACATGAAGCACCTGGTTAATGCTTCGGCTTCTGATTTGCGTCCATTCCTCGCCCCCCCAGCCCTGTTGCCCTTTGCTTCTAGTCCTCACCACAAGAGGCCACTCCCACGGCGGCACCCCCAGCTGGAGTCGCCATGTCCCCGTGCCTCGACACTCCTTGCACACTCGTACCTTCCCCCTCCCGCAGGAATTTGGAGTCTCCCCCCTCCGAATATTCTGCCCTTCCTCTCGCTGCTCTTCTCTCCTAAGCTCCACGACACGCTCCCACCTTGCTTCGCAATTAGGATCTCCGACTGACTACAGTTGTCCCTGTCCCGTTCCCTGATGTCACCTCCCTCTTCCATGTGAGTGGAGAAGCTGCTCTCAGGGCCCTGGCCTCGGCTGTAACAGATTCCACCTCTGCAGCTGACCCGCCATGGTCGCAGCCAAACCCCCAGCCTCATCCACTGATCCAGGATCTTGGGATCTCAGACCCTGCAGTCTCCATACTCCCAGTCTCATGCCGGGACGCCTGCCGAGCCAGCTGTCCAGATGACTTCCCACCTGCAGACCCTTAGCCGTTGCCCATCACTTCAACCCTCGAGCTCCAGAACTGAGGCCTGTCTGCCTCCCTCCCAGCGCGGGCCCCACGGTGAGCGCTCCGCCTGAGGCTCTTCGTAACATCCTGACCCTCTCATGCCCTTTGTCCGGGCCTGCTTCCCAGCCTTGGACCTGCCTCCTTGCACCTGCTTCGCAAGGGCTGAGTTGCGTCCCTAAATAAGACGTTGATGGCCTCACCCTCAGTGCCTTAGAGTCTGACTTGAGTTGGAAATTAGGCTGTGTGTTGAGGCAATCAAATTAAAGTGAGGTCCTTAGGGTCGGTCCTAATCCAGCATGACTAGAGTCCTTTTATTTATTTTATTTATTTACTTATTTATTTTTATTTTTTTGAGTCGGAGTCTCATTCCGTCGCCCAGACTGGAGTGCAGCGGCCGCTCCCGGCCCCCGCAGCCTCGGCCCGCTGGGCTCCGCGATCCTTCCGCCTCCGCCTTCCGAGTAGTCGGAATGACAGGCGCGCGCTCCCACGCCCGGCTGATTTTTTGATTTACGGTAGAGATGAGGGCTCGCCAAGTTGCCCAGGTGGGTCTCGAACCCGTGGGCTCAGGCAATCCTTTTGTCTTTTTCTATTTTTGTTTTTAAGACAAGCTCTCGCTCTGTTGGCGAGGCGGCACTCGTGTGTGGCCTCGGCTCTGTCACTCCCTGCCTGTTCAGACGGTCAAGCATCCCTTCCCCATCTTGGGTCGTCGTAACTGAGTTCTCCCAAGTCTACATTCAAGACCTCCTTTTTTAAAAGCCCGAAAGCCAGGCGGGACTCCGTGCCTCAGCCTGTAATCCCAGCTCTTTGGGAGGCTAAGGCGAGTAGATTTCCTGAGCCTGTGGGTTCAAGACCAGCCCGGGCAACTTGGCGAGACCTCGTTTCTACAATAAGTCGAAAATTCGCTGGGTATGTAGCATGTGCCTGTAGTTCCGACTACTTGGAAGGCCGAGGCGGAAGGATCGCCTGAGCCCAGCAGGTGGAGGCTGGGGCGGTCGTGAGTGTGCCTGGGCGACAGAGTGAGACTCCCACTCAAAAATAAACAAATATATAAATAAAAACTAGAAGCTGGGCTCGGTGGCTCAGCCGGTAATCCCGCGCCTTTGGGAGGCTGAGGTGAGTGGATTGCCTGAGCC